TCAAAATTAAGTCAAAGTGATATTGATTTTGTAATCGTCAAAGTTTTGAAAAAGGGGAAATAAAAGTGCGGTATGACTTACTGCGCCATGATACTGCGCCCTTGTGACCACGGGTCATAGACATTCATACAAAGGATAAAATGTTTCTCTACTACTACTATGATTTCTGATTTCCGCTTGATTAAACATAATTATCCAGATCATCTTTGATACTATCCTCGTTTATACTCCTATCTACTTTGGTAATGATTGCATTGCGTAAACATCAGAAGTCCCATTATACTTTAGGATGTGAGATTTAAGTCCTTCGTTTAGTCCATAACCTTGATCCTCTGCAAAGCTCTTTTTCAAGTATACTTGTCCCCAATGAATTAATTCCTTGACCGTTACTTCATCGTGAAAATCAGAAGGAATACCATGCATATATTTTACGGGATCTTTCTTAAATGCGGGTAAGTAATAGTAAGGAAGAAATTCAAATTTGATTTTTTTATAATCGATCAGATAATCTGTATGTTGTACGACATTTGAATTAGGCTGTGCAATGAAATTATTTTTAGAATTTCAATGTATACGAGACATGGAAGGTCATGGAAATTCTACATGCGTGATCTGATTGATAAACTATAAAACGACCATTTCCTACTAAAAAAAATCACTTCTCTTTTAATCTGTACAAACCGCATTACTTATTTTTATTCAAGTAATAAACAAACATGTCTGATACCCCCATTCTGTCAATCGAAGTAGTTAAGAAATGGAAACGAGCTAATGTTGTTGATTTTTTGAAAGAGAAAAAAGAAGAGTTAGAACTTGAAAATGAGGATATCCAGATAATTGATAACAATAGGGTTAACGGTTGTGCCTTCCTTGAGTTAAATGTAGATAAGCTTATGCAGGATGGATTAAAAAGAGGACCAGCTGAAAACATCACGCAACTGATTAAGGATATTAAGGGGGGGAAGAGCAGGGTAAGTACCATGATTGTATTCAAACATTTCAAACCTACACTGCCTCTCTCGCTGTCATTTCATTTTTTAACTTGTGCTTTCACTCGTCCGCATACGTTATATGATATTTTAATGTTACCCACTTTGCTTCACAGGTCATGAACAAGAACGCGAAATTGGTAAGCTGGAAAGTATTTCAAAGGATACGTTACTGAAACTTTGTATCTCTAATGATCTGTTTCTACTATAGAGGATTCCTTGTATTTTTTGACTCTCAACATGCTCAAGACTAAGGTTGCGGGAGAAACTCCTCCAGAAATCAATCGACAGAGTTTCGACAGGTTACACATTAATTGTTTATTAGAGTTTCAGCAGAGTTTCGCATTTGGGGTTTTCACCAATCATCAGAGTTTCGACAGGTTGCACATTAATTGTTCATTAGAGTTTCGACAGAGTTTCGACAGTCATTAAGAGATTTCGCCCACAACCTTAGTGTAGACATGAGAGTTATTGTGTGAGGACGGTGAGATTTGGGAATTTTCTCATTTTATTAATAACAATTAGCATAAAAATTTTATATTAAAATGTCGATCATTTCTCCGATTCATTCGCGAATCAGCAATTAATATATCTACATTTGTAATTTCTTAATCTGTGACCCGTTGACCCGACGGGTTGGGTCGGGTCAACTATTTAAAAGTTCGAGTCGGGTCGGGTTGAACCACCGACCCGACCCGGCTCGTTCGGAGCTCTATTTCCAATTGACAAAAAAAACAGAAGCTTCAGTTGGAAACATTTCATCATTAATTCTTTCCTTAATTTCTGGTGAAAGTTTTAGCCCTCCAATTGACTCGCAAAGAAAATCACTAACATGATATCCACATCCTTCTCCTTTTTTCAATAAAGGTTGCTGATTAGAAGGACCCCAGCCAGATTTTGCACCATCATTGGAATGAAAAGTAGACTCATCATGGGTTACAAAAATATGAATTTTTTCACCTTCATTGAGATCTGGAAGTATGCAAATTTCAAGATTGTTTCCTATATATTTTGGCATCAACCTTTCATATCTAAAAAATAATAATGATTGATTGATTGATTTTAGTTTAATAATATTTTGCATAGTAAATAATTCATAAATACTCTTTCATTGCTTCTAAGAACTTTTTGTGATATTCAATGACATCTTCACATTTATGTCCATCATAATAGACATCTTTGCTATAAGTTTTGAAGTAAAATCCCATTTTATGCAGCCATTGGTGTGCAGTTTCATGGCTAATGAATGAAATATTGAATAAATAAATATTTACTGCAGTTTGAATTAATTTAATGAGAACTCACCTTATATTTGTTTCTTTTTCGACCTCAATACATGGAAAAGTAACAAATGAAAGGTGATTAATAAAATCATTAATATTAAATTTAAATTTTTTTTCATGTAAAAATTCTGTTATTCTTAATTTGATGTCTTCATAATCTAGTAAACTTGATGTTTTTCTATGCAAACCATGATTTGAAAATGAAATAGGATCTCCATCTTTGACAATTTGTGCTCATTCTTGAATACAGCAAGCAAAGTATTTACCTCTATCTAATTGATTTGCAATAGATATGCTTGATTCTAACTTTTTTTTACCTAATTTAATTAATTTTAAATATTGAAGCACAGCTGTAAGTCATAATTTATATCCATTACTAAAATCATTGTTTTTAAGCTGCTTCTCTAAGTCACTAATCACAACTTCTGTCATTTCTTTATCATTACTTTCAATAAATTCCTCAGAACTTTCATTTTCACTACTAACATCTGCTCAAAAAATGCAGTTATTAATTGACCATTTTTTCAGCATTTTTTTTAGCCTCACTTTGTTTCCAGCAATAAGTTCTGGAAGAGTTACCTATATAGCACAAAGGTCTTGATGATGAAGTGTAATTTTTCATGGATTCATTGAGGATATCAATATATTTTACAGAATTTTCATCTAATTCTCTATCTATTCCTTCTTCAAACCAACTTTCCTCAGATTCTTCACATGAAAATTGTTCTAAATTAGTTTCTAATTGATTTTCATTACCAGATGAGCTATTATTTTTTTTGTCTAAAGCAAGTCTATTTAAATGTGCTTTTTGCTTTGTAAATTTAGGCATGATTAATTGGTAAATTTCAAAAAAGAGTTAGATTTTTTGAACAAAAAAAAACGCGTTAAAAAATTGAATTGATATTCAATCACGTGATGTATGTAACATCGAATTAAAGTTAATTCCAGCCAAATTTAGCAATTTTGGTAAGATTTATGGTGGACAAAACATAGAATAATGATAATTTTTAAAAGCTCATAGCTCCATCTAGAATGGGATTTTTAAAAAAATTTCTTCATTTTTTGTTAATTCAAGCTTCAAACTAACTGTTTATGAAGAGCCTTTTGATTTATTTTATCTGCTGACATACTAGATAGATAGAATTAGAAATTTTCATGTAAAAGTTGCCAGGATTAGACTAGATGCACTATATGAAGTAGATGATCGGCACATTTATTATGCTTTTGTAATCAAGGCTGCATTCATATATAAAATTTCTATTGAAATGTCCAAATGTAAAGAAGTTTCACCAACACTTGCATCTCAAGGAATAATTTACATTATGAACCTTTTGTTTGTCACTGGTAGCATGAAACTTCTACTGAAAATGGTTCAGAATTTTACCTTATTCATTTAGGCATGACAATTTTAAACTGAACTAAGCAGTAGGAAATTTTTATTTTATATTATTTCTACAAAAAACCAACTGCCAGGATATGTTTGGGAATCAAGAACATATATCTAGCAATATAGAAGCTGATAAAATGTTAACAAGTTCACAATAAGTGAATTTTCAAGTAATTTATCACATAAAATTTAAATCCAATTAGAGTGATATGTCACTTTACTAATAGTTTAATATTAACAACTTGCTTTTGTTGTAATCTGATTGATACAATATTTAACAAAATTATAAATAATAGAAAGCAAAGTTTATTTAAAAAAATAAAGAAAATTATTGTAATTATTTTCCGGGACTTAATGATGACAGGAGAAATTATGTGGTCAAGTTTTGAATAGTTTAATATTAACTTAACAACTTGTCCTTACTGTCTAATCTAATTTCCCGCCCATTACAAGAAAATTATAAATAATGGAAAACAAATTTTATTAGAAACAATAAACAAAATTAATTTAACTCCTGCAATTATTTCCCAGGACTTGATTTGATGGTGAGAAAATTTATGGGTCAAGTTTTTAAGGAGTACTTAAGTTACGATGAGAGTTACATAAATAATTTAGGTTTTTTTACTTCAAAATCCAATGAAGTTTGTTTTTTTTTATTAAATAAAAAATAATAAAGGCAATTTTATGGTCTGATTAAGGATGTTAGCCGAAATGATTTTTAAAAAAATCAATTTCGGAAAGCAATTTCGGATTTACAATACTCTTTATATCAATGGACATAATAATAAAAAAACTACACAGAATTTCGGCTATTGAGTTAAAGTATCCAAAAATATTATTTTTTAATTTGTTGGATTGATGTAGATAATAACAATTGAAATGTCAAAGACTAACTAATCTCAATTCATGAATCCCTGGAAGAAAGTATTGGATCAATACTATATACAGTCAATCTTGTTCCAATGAATCTATGAGGACACAAGAAAATTGCATCTAAAATTCATTATACCAAATTACAGTAACGCGATCGCAACAAATTTAATTATAATTCATGATGACACATTGCAACAGATTTAATTATATTTCGTGGTAATAGTAATGCAATTGCAACAATTTAATTATAACTCATTGTATGTTTGCTAGCTTAGATTCTCATTGGTTGTGTATGTAAAATTTTAATTATTAAAAAATAAATACTATTCTATTATCTTCATTTTCATTAATAAATTTAAATAGATACCATTTTTTACATGAGAAACAAAAATTAATGAATAAAACAATCATTAATAAATAAATACCTTTTAATTTATAATAATAAAATAATAACTAATTTGATTGTTCCATAACAATTCTTTCTGATCATACTAAAAGTAATTACTGATTAATTACAGGAATAAAACTTTATGATGTTGAATTTTCTATCTATTTTCTAAAAATAAATAATAAATAAATATGGCCGCGTAACAATTCTTTCTGATCGTACACCGCCAGATCTAAAAAGAGTAATTAAATAATTAAAGTATAATTGTTATTACAACCAGAATTTTTGATGTTGAATTTTCTAAAAATAAATAAAATATAGTCGCACAATTCTTTCTGATCATAACAATTCCTTCTGATTTAACCATTAACCTTTGGAAAAGAAAATTGTGCATTCTCTCCTAGATGAATTGAGATAAATAATAATACCTTTTAATATTAATAATGCACTCTCCTATACAAATTGAGACTTTAATATTAATAATTACATTCTCTCCTAGATAAATAAATATATAAACAAATAATTCTTTTATAATATAGTTATACATTTTTTTCCTATAATATCTATTACTTACTTTCATAAATAATATGTTGTAAACTTGGTTCTTTTGATTTCTCTTTTTTAAAAATTTTTTGCTGAATCCAATCTGTATAAAATTCTTGACATGACTGTTAAATTTCTATACAATAGTTTTTCGTAAACCTCTCTAAAACTTATTAACCAACACCCCCCATAAAGTAATGACTATATGAAAGCTTAGAGTATTTTACACCTCTTCAGTCACTATCAGGTCTTTTAAAGCGATATTGAAAAATAATCTGAGCTTTGAAGTGAAAAAGTAACACCATTTTTTAATAGTCGTAGATTTATATAGAGAAGACCTTTTGATATGAAGGAGTATTCATTAGAAAGCTTTAATGGAGTATTTTTATTTTACTCTAACAACGAAGTTCGAGTTTATTATAAAAAATAACGACATGTGACACGAATTAGAAATTTTTTATTTAATATTAATATAGAAAATAATTAAAGGACATGTCACACGACTGATAATAATAATAATAATAATGTTTTGTTTACTTTTTTCACGAATTTGTGTCAATATTAATATTTATCATTATTATTGATTATATTAACCGAAACACCACATATCTCCTTACTATTACTTTTTTTAATATAATAGTAATAATAAGGCAAATAATTAACTAATTGATAAAAAAAAAAAATGAATTTGAACTTCAAAAATAGAAAATTTTATTTAGTATTCATTCTGACATTCATTATTACAAATGTATTTTCTGACTCTAGTACAACACGTAACGTAGCTGTTAGTGTAGTGGCAAATAATAAGCTTTATATTCTTGGAGGCCAAAGTATAGGATTACGAATGACAGAATCATTTTTTTATGTGGATTTAACTAGTGATTTCAAAGTTACAAGTGTACCATGGATAAATGACGGCAGTCTACCTGTACTTAATTCTTGGGCTGTTGGAGCAGTTGGTGGATCAAACAATTCAACAATTTTTTTATTTGGTGGAGTTATGAGAAATATAGCTTCGGCAGCATTCGATTTCAGTAATTTGCTTTATGCATATGATATAAATACAAAAACTTGGAGTGCTCCAAAAACAACTGGCATTACTCCCATAAATCGTAGAGCTAGTAGTGCTGTTGTGGATAGCAATGGGAAAATGTATATTTTTGGTGGGGAAACAGATACATTTACTGGATCTTCTTCTAATCAATTTTTAAATGATATGTACACTTTGAATACTGCAAACCTGACTTGGAATCAAGTTCTCTCTAATAATCCACCAACAACAATTGCAGAACATACTTCAACTTTATTACCTGATAGTAGAATTGTAATCATTGGTGGATACGAAGGTCAAGCTATGGCTGACATGTATAAAGTATGCATTATTTTTATATATACATATAGAAAATATTGATTAATTTCCTTTTTTTTAAAAAAACAAAATAATATAGTAACTATTTCTTTATTTATAGATAAAAGTTTTTGATATAAATAGTTCAACTTGGTCAATTGTGGTAAATATTTAATCAATTAAAATATAATATTTGCAAAAATTTTTATAGGAAAAATCAGAGTATTTATTTTATTTTTCTTACATGTGGGCGAAAAATTTAGACAGTAGATGGTCCATTATCTATCCAACCTCGAACTGGTCATTCAGCTGTACTTTGTAATTAATATTTTAATTTTAAATTTTTTTAAAAAAAAACATCATACTAAAATTATATATAATGTATAGCAAAGGATGGAAAGATAATTGTTTATGGTGGTAGTGGATCTACAGGAACCACATCATTTCCTGAACTTATAGTACTGGATACAACTACAAATCCTTTTAAATGGTCTACACCCAGTTTTCCATCTGTTAATCGTGCTCCACCTCTAACATTGCATACAGCTAATTTAATAGAAAATCAGATGATAATATGTTTTGGTATATTTTTTATATTTTTTTTAAAAAAATTTTTATTTTCTTTCAACTCTAAAATTAATTATAATTATATATATATAGGAAATATTACAAATAATTTTACAAATCCACAATCATCTAGTGCAAGTACTTATATATTTGATATTAAAGATTTTACTTGGAAAACAAGTTATTCAGCATCTGAGGCAAACTTGGTATCAGCATCATCACCATCATCACCATCATCACCATCATCACCATCATCACCATCATCATCATTAAACACTGTCCAAATATTAGCAATAGTAATTTCAATTTTATTAATACTGTTAATTGCAATAGCATCATTCATATTTATAAGATTGTATCTAAAGAAAAAAAAATCAGTTCCAAGTAATGTTATAGAAATGCCTAGTGAGCAACAACTTCAACAATATGGGAATTCTCAGTTTGTTCCTAATATTACACCTTATCCTAATAACCCTCCCTATCCTAATAACCCTTCTTATCCTAATAACCCTTCTTATCCTAATAACCCTTCTTATCCTGATCATAATGTGTTAAGATAATTTTCTCAAATAAATAGATTTGTATTTTATATATATTTATTTTTATTTTTCCATATTTTCATTTAATGATAACACAATAACATGTATCTTTAATTTGAAGCCTGTAAATTGTTTCCTTCAAAGTTATGAGGGTTTGGATTTTACCATAATGCAGATCATCTAAAGACATGCAACTTCAAACCAATAATGTTTTTTTTATTAATAAAATTAAAAAACTCCTTTTAGAACCTAAATTTTCTTCAATTTTATTAATAAAAAAAGGTTTAGTAGTTTTGAAGTTGCATAATTTTTGAAATCAGACAATTTAGGTATATTCTTCCTTAATTAGGATAAACTATGATGATCCAGTAAATTATTTCCAAAAATGGTAATAAAGTGGGTACATACGGTGCAGATCATCTATAATCATTAATTGCTTATCCCTTAAACGAAATTGCGGCCAAATCTGGCTGCAATTTGCAATTGTGATTCAAAAATTACAAAAAAAGGTATTTTACTGTGGTCTCACCACAACCTTTCTTATTTGATAAATGATATTCAAAGCACCCTACTTTTATTAAAAAAATTTCGTTTGGGGTACATATTACAAATAAAGAAATAATATGAATCCCTGGAAGAAAGTATTGGATCAATACTATATACAGTCAATCTTGTTCCAATGAATCTATGAGGACACAAGAAAATTGCATCTAAAATTCATTATACCAAATTACAGTAACGCGATCGCAACAAATTTAATTATAATTCATGATGACACATTGCAACAGATTTAATTATATTTCGTGGTAATAGTAATGCAATTGCAACAATTTAATTATAACTCATTGTATGTTTGCTAGCTTAGATTCTCATTGGTTGTGTATGTAAAATTTTAATTATTAAAAAATAAATATTATTCTATTATCTTCATTTTCACTAATAAATTTAAATAGATATCATATTTTTTTACATGAGAAACAAAAATTAATGAATAAAACAATCATTAATAAATAAATACCTTTTAATTTATAATAATAAAATAATAACTAATTTAATTGTTCCATAACAATTCTTTCTGATCATACTAAAAGTAATTACTGATTAATTACAGGAATAAAACTTTATGATGTTGAATTTTCTATCTATTTTCTAAAAATAAATAATAAATAAATATGGCCGCGTAACAATTCTTTCTGATCGTACACCGCCAGATCTAAAAAGAGTAATTAAATAATTAAAGTATAATTGTTATTACAACCAGAATTTTTGATGTTGAATTTTCTAAAAATAAATAAAATATAGTCGCACAATTCTTTCTGATCATAACAATTCCTTCTGATTTAACCATTAACCTTTGGAAAAGAAAATTGTGCATTCTCTCCTAGATGAATTGAGATAAATAATAATACCTTTTAATATTAATAATGCACTCTCCTATACAAATTGAGACTTTAATATTAATAATTACATTCTCTCCTAGATAAATAAATATATAAACAAATAATTCTTTTATAATATAGTT